GTAGTGGCTCCGCTTTCCCTGGCTGGAGGCTGTCATAGCTGACAATGAAGGATATTGAGGAGTAAGAGGTGAAAAGTACTGTGGCTGTTTGTTTAAGAAATAAAATTTGCATATAGTGAAAAAGTTTGATTTCTCATTATTTAGCCACAGTAATTATAATGTTCCTATACTGAATGTAAATTGCTTTATACGACATTGATCTATTTTTAAAATAATAATATACCATGTGACGTTCTGTATACAAATATGACATGATTTTAATAATATTAAATGATGGCGTATTAAAATACCTTCTACTGACTTAACCAGTGATTGATGGTCTTGTACTTGCAGCTTTCAAATGGCATTTGGTAATATGCATCATTTGATTTAACATGACTCTTTGAGTATCCCTGTGTTTATTTTGATACTATTAGACAGAGTAATAACGAACATGTAGTGGATTTTGCTCTGTAATGCCTTAGACTTACTAAATTGTAGGTAATAAGTATGAATGATAAAAAATATAGGTTCTTCCAAGTTAAAAAGGAAGCACTAAGATCCAGAAGTGTCCTTTGTCTACTGACAGAATTCTAGGAGGCATTGACTCCTGAACCTGCCTAGGTATTTTATTGTCTCTTAGATGTAGAAAGTCAGTCTTTATCAAATAAAGGGTTCTGAAAGAGAAAGAAAAGGAATATACATAATTTCCTGAACATGTTGCTAATTGGTATTTTTCCTCTCCCTAGAATGAATATATGTGGGAGGAAGAGTTTTGTTGACTTAGAAATTCACAAAGTAAAGCTGTCTTTTGTCATATCGAGGAAAATGCAATGCAATGCACAGTGTACAAGTCAACACTTTTGCCTTGGCTTTAAGTAGTAGTGTCAGCCTCTCCTTCTATCCTTTAGCCTGCAGCATTTTTATAGACTCATACTGCTGATATTGAGATACAGATATATATGGTACATATATATACACACAAATACTTATGAATATGCTTCTCATAGCCTTATTTGCTGCTACTCTCAAAAAATAAAAATTATCATCACAAGCACAGGTAGAAAGATGCCTTCCTCAGCAGCAGCCTTTCCTTTGCCTGTTTGTAGCTGGCAAAATGTAACTGTCATAATTTTGGTTATTTGGAAGTCTGCTGGAAATAAGAAAACTGCTGCTCTGTTAGAACTTGCAGCCTTCGTGGTAATTCTCTGCTTTTGCAGTTTCTTTAACAGTCTTTTGGCACAAGTTTCCAAGTAATAGCATTGGGGTTTGTTGTCGGGATAAATCCGTCCTACAGTTTATTCAGTTGCAGCTGCAGTACTTCCGTGCAGAGCACTTCTCTGCATAGACCCATGAGCACGCTACTCATGTATTTGTTGCTACTCGGCAAACACTTTTATATATAAATATATAAAGGATTTTATATTTTTATATATATGTATAAAAATGTGTGTGTATACAAATTGTGTGTGTATGTGTGTGTATAAAAATGTGTGTGTGTATACATATATATAAAAGTAACAGTTATGTTTTCCTTAGATCAAGATCTACAAAACAGACTACTGGGTCGGGGTTTGGGGAGTGGTTGTTTGTTTAATAAGTTTAATACTGTTGCAGAAAACATAAGAGTGACTGTACTGGGTATGATCAAAGGTCTATCAAGCCCAGTATCCTGTCTCCAGCAGTGGCCAAAAGTGGACGCCTAGGGAGGAATATAAGAACAAGGCATGTTGTGATGTTTCCCTTGAGTGCTGTTCAAGCCTCGAAATATGTGCTGCTCAAACTTTTTGAATGATGATTGTGCTTTAAACATAAAAATGGCAATGATCTGAAGCTTTTGGATAAACAGAAGGCTTGAGAGCAGGATTCCTTCTCTCTGCTCACCCGAATAACTGAGAACATATTCAGTAAAAGCTGAACATGTTTTCTCAGAAAGAACGGTGATTTTTGTTTTTCTCTTTGAATTGCTGAGGAATGTCACTTTTTTATTTTTTCTTAAGTGGAAGTACCACTTTGAAAAGTTTAAAGAGAAATGCCGTGCTGGTTATTTGGTTGATGAACTCCTAAATTTTTCAATGAGAAGCAGCAGCTTAGGTCAAGACAGTTCAGGTTTAGGGACAGATGAGATAGGCAGCCTTCTGTTTCAGGAAGTTCAGGAAGCGATGTGAGTTGTATGAGACATTTAACCAGTATTCTGAAGAAGCAGCAGTATTTATTTTCCTCCTCTTCAACTGTACTGTCATTTACGCCTGTTAGCAAAAATACTAACTTTCTTTTAAATAAACATAAATGTACATATATTCAGAGAAAAATTTGGAAAAGTCTTTGAAGTTTAAGGGTGATAATATACTCAAGGCATCTGTATCTTTTCTCCTGTCTCTGAAAAGAACATACTGTATTAGAAGTATTTCAAAATGTCATTAGCTCTTGACAGATCCATTTGGATAATATTTTTGGGTTGTTCTCACTTGTGAGCTTCAAAAGGTACTTGGTTAAGAGTTGTACTTTCAGATTGTTCTGTTTGGAAGTAAAGGCAAGAAGATGCTATTCACGATCCTCATTCTGGATTCAAAGTCAGATATGAGTGTTGTCCCCTCTTCTCGATCTACAAAAATCTCAGGCTTGAGGAATCACCAAAATGCTTGGTCTAAATAAAGCTAATAGTTCAAAATAGGAGGAAAAAGGAGGAAATAGGAGGAAAAAATTCCATCTAGTTTGTGCAGATGAAAATAAGTTTCTGCAGAAATTTAATAAACCCATTAGCCAAAAATAGAGATGATGAATTCTCAGCAATAACAATCAAATGATTACAGTCTTAATTGTAAGACATTACGTAGACACAGATAACCTTCAGAAAATGTTTTCCAGGTTTGTCAATTTTATCAAAGGCTTCACACGACATGATACTTGTTTGAACTGTTTAAATGTTTCTTCCTTCTAACTGTGACCAAAAACAGTTCCTACCCACTTGACATTATAGACTAAATTTTTCAGGTCTATTGGCTCTTGGTGGTGGAAAAATCTGCCTGGAGGTCAGCAGTGGTTTAAACCACAACCAGCCATCCTTCTTTTCAGTCTGCTTAACTTCAGCCTGCAAATTTTTCAGCTAAAATGGGTTAAAGGTCTTCACAGAATCCTATACAAAGTATGAGCTCTTCTGTATGCTCTGTGCATGCCATAGGCTGTATGCAGAAGCTGGCTGGCCCCTCTTCTGTCCAAACACGCAGTAGGAGATGACTGCAATTCAGTCTTAGCCAGAACTGAGAAAAACTGAGGAAGACCTACAAGAGGCCAGTAGTACTTACACAGGTGATAATACAATAGGAACAGCTTCCTATGTACTGCGAGACTGGCAAACCTTCCAGCCCAGAAACTGTGTTAGTGGCATCAGAGAAGCTCCCCTGGGTCCCCAAAAATCTTTCCTTAAATTTAAGGAAAGCTTCTCCCTATGCCCCTCTCCCATCTCCGGTATCTTGACACTCAGACATTAGTCATCAGGATTTTTGTTTTTTCCTAAATTACAACTCTAAATCAGGTCTTTCGGATACATTTTAGTCCATGCACAATCAATCTGAGGGTGAATGATAATCCATCTTCCCCTGCCACCCTGCCCCTGTACTAAACAGCTTGGGGTGGGAGGGTTGATTCTTTAATTGCTGGTTTATTTTGTTTTATTTTATGTTATTTTATTTCATTTTATTTCTAAACAGAAGTGCCTTTTTCCTTTTGACAACTATCTGAAATATGCTCCTTTAAGAACCTCCTACGTGGTATGTATTTGTAATTTGTAAACACAAGATGTCAAAGAATGATTTGATTCAGTGGTGAGGCAGCCAGCTATTTGCATGTCATGAGGTCTAAGGGAAACAAACTGACCCTCAGCCTTCTTCCAGGCAGCCAAATTCTAATGGGACCCTCAAATAGCTCTGGCAAAGTATTCTGTTTCTTTTGGACTTACTGAATGCTTGTTTCTGCGAAGAAGTCCAATTATTTCTTCCTTTTATTTTGTTACACAAGTTACCAGGAGAAGCAGCTTGAAACCAGATGTGAGTATTAAGTATTTCCATTTCTCCTTTATGCGATAACGTTTAATTGTGGTAGTGTAACAGGTAACTAATTGAATATTTTAAGCGCTTAAGGAGGAGCTTTTTTCTTCAGATACAAATTACTCATTCCTATGGCTACAGTTTCTTTAAACTATGTGCAGAATTCCACAGTTACATTAAAAATGTTTTAGTTTTGTGTACCAAAACAAGATTCCACATTTTTTCAAATGCACTTGTTTTCTTTTTATTCATTGACTCACTAATTAATCTAGGGGAAGATTGCTCGTTTTTTTTTTTTTTTCTTCTTTGTAATGATATAAGGATGAATATTATTTACTCTAAAACATCAAAAATGTATATGCTATTTCCTGTGACATTTGAATCATCGTTTTTTTCTCATGGCAAGCTATCATAGCTATTTGGTGTTGTAAGAAAACTCTTTAAACAGTGTATTTTCTGATACGGTAAGTCACTGGTTTCTAGTACAGTTAATTTCACTGTCTAGTATGGATTGTTCTTACTTTTTCTTTGAAGTAAAACCAGTTACCAAGCTGGTGTTTACAGCAAAATTTAGCCATGTTATCAAATCAAGTATCATTTCAACATTCTCCTTCTGTAAGATATTTTGTTGTGTCTTTTATTTACCACCTTTTTAGGATCATCATCTTGGTCTAGGATTTGAAAGCATGAGAGTAGGACTGAAAGGATGAACCTCTGTTCACTAAAATTGTTCTAAAAATGTCTACCTATATGGCAGAAGTTAAAAAGTGGAAATATTCCATAATTTAAAGTCTCTATATATTAATTGCACTGATACCTGGTTTCTTAAAGGTAATCTTTTTGATAATAAGGATTAAATCAAACTTGGGTTGAACTATCAAATACAATTTATATTTCAATAACATAATTAGTTTTAAATACCGTTTTTTTCTTAACTTTCCCTAATGTCAAAAGATCTTTTTGTGTACTGGAACTTGACATAAAATCTCTTATATTTAAAAAACAAGTTTCAGGTGTCTTTCTTGTTTGTGTCTAATATTTTCACCCATATTTTTCTTCTGTTTGTGTCATGAGTTGACATTTCTAGAGTATTTTAACAGAATAGGCTTTAACAGACTTAATATACTGATGTTATAACAGATTGCTGATGATCTTGTCATGTAATTTTATTACAGTGGCACAAAAGTCACTTCAATTTGAAGTTGCATAATTGGTAGGTGCTTAAAATAACATATTAACCTTCTCGTAATATAAGAGCAAAATCATGAAAGCAAAAGCTATTTGAAAGAAATTCTGATCAATTGTAGGGTATTTCAAGGTTATTTGCAGGCAGTCATTTTCTAGCAAATGAATATTTTTGGTTGACATGGTAAGATATAAGTTTTATGAGCCATATACAAATAAGCCCAGCTTTCTTTTCATCCTTCTTTTTCCTTGTCTGAGTTGTACTTATCCAAAAAAAAAAAAAAAAAAAAGAGTTGAAATCTATTAGTATTGCTTAACCGTGGAAAGACAGGCAGAAATGCAAAGTCTCGACCAGCAGGCTTCTAAATGTCAAGCCTAAAATCAGAGGGTGAAATTCTAACCCCTTTTCAAGGAGGGGTGAAAACCCCTCCTGTGGACTAAACAAGACCTGGATTCTGCTCAAGTCTTTAGATCACCTAAAGCGTAGAACTGACCTTAATTTTTTCTGTACATTTTCCTGTCAGTTAACTGTAGGATGATGTCTTATGTCTAATTCCAGGATATTCTTAAAATTAATGATTTCGGTTCAACGTTCCTATTAAAATTTCTAGAGCCCCAAAGTTTGGAAATGGGAATGACGAAAAGCTGCTCATATTCCATGTTTGCTCCTACAGTAGAATTCATTTTGCTGAGAGCAGGGCGTGTGGTTCTGTTTAGGAAGCTGTGAACTCATTTCATAGGTTTATATTTTCCTATAAAATGTAAGAGGGATGAAATGGGTACAGTTTCATAGAATTACGTAGACATTTCTCCAGAAACACTAAACTGATACAGTGCAAATAAGCTACTATTATTAAAACCTCAAGACATTAAATTTTGTAGCAGAGATACTGTGAGAGGCAGGACTTTACAACAGCTAGCTAATGTCTCTTTGTTCTCTCTTTAGTAATGGCTTCGTTTCTGCTATGAATCACCCTCAAGAGGAATTTCTCTCTCTCCTTTAACTATAAAGAGCACATTAGTGAATTAGCCTCTGCAGACTTAAGTTAGCTTTTGTGAATAGCACGCGTTCGTCTCTGATATTGCATAGTATACATCAGCTACTATCTCTTCTCCTGGTTTCCTTTTCTTAGACTAAAAGTTTTCTTTGATTCTGCTTCATTACCTCCACGCTAGTAGGTCACTTATCTTCTTAACCAGGCTTGTCTTGAATCTGAATTTGTTCTAGGTCCATATATAAAGACTAGCAAATTCTGCACATCTCAAAATATTATGAGTAGTGGATCTGAAAGGGCTTCTCTTGCTCACTGCTGGCCTTACACTTAATCATTTTTGTAAACCAGAAAAATATTCATTTTTCAATAACCTGTCTTGGTGCATAGATAGTAGAATTGATAGAAAGAATGATTTAGAGACAGAGCATAGCACAAATTAGTGACAGAATACACACAGAGGAGACCTGAATTTAGTTCAAAGTGACTGTCAGCCAGTTGTTCTGTGCTTCGGTCCCCCATCTGTAAAACTGGGTTTGTTATACTGAGGAAAAAAAAAATTAATTCAAAACCACATTATCCAAGGCTGACTGGAGGCAGCCCAGGTTCTCTGGAAAATCCTTAATGATTAGGAACTGTCTCAAATGCTGTGGCCTTAAGAAGTTTAACACAAAACTGGATAAATTTCCCTCAGAATGCCTTGCGTAAGTATTAGTCATATCTCCAGAGTCATTAGGGGCGATTGTAAAGTTCACAACTGGAGCATTTTATTGCCTCAGCTAACTTCAGTAGTGCTTTCTATCCAGCAGTGCTTCAGCTGGAAGTTCTCCACCAGGCAACCTTCACAACCTACAGTACTTGTAACTCTCCATTGCCAGGTCCATGACTGCAGTCTGACGAGCAAAATCCTCTAAAGGCAAAGGCATAACAAGTGTGTGCTTCTCTTCCCACTCCTCCAGGTTTGCTCTCTGACCGTGGGCGAATCAGTTATTTTATTTTGAAAGGCATTAACCTTTCCTGTAGACAAGTATCTCATAACTGTGTTTTAGCTTTGCTTTGTTATTGTTAGAAAAGTTATCTTGAGATCTTTGAAAGGAAGGCTGTATAAATATCTCAGAGTATTAAGCTACAAGTCTATTTATCAAGAGCCCAGTCTTCCTCAAGTGAGCTCCCCAAGCTACTAATTCAGCAACATCAATATTCATTTATGCATTATAACATGAAAAATTGTGCCATCATTAGAGTTCTTCGAATAGCTGGGTTTGTTTTCTATTTGCATGCAGAAAAAAAAAAAGATTAGATAAAATCTTTCATGTTGAACAGATCTGATTGTGAAAGTTTGTTTAGTTTGGTGCTTGAAAATGGAAGAGCATTGAGAAACATTTCAAATTAAAAGCTCAAAGCATTTTCTTATTTAAAATGCAGTAGCAGAATTCTTAAATTTGTATTTAATCATTTACTTTTGTTTTTTCCCAAAAACATTTACCATATGTAACATAAATAAGCAAAAAGGACTTGAACTGTATTTTTACCTTAGCAGAGTTTCTGCTGCTGCTTACCACTCCCCTCCCACTCAGCCCAGTCTTAACATGCAGCTAATTAGAGTTATGGGCTCTGAGGGTCATCCTGCACCAAAAGTGGTTCGTTCCATTCTAGATTTGCAAAGGTAATTACTTTTCTGTTGCTGTGTCAGGGTTCATGTTATCACTTGAATAGATTCCGTTGTTACCCTATGTCCTTGAATTATATTATCTGATTTTAAAATGATCCTAACTATAAGAAAGGAATTTCTTCATTCCTGTCAAATTTGCTCCACCATTCTAAGACTTAAGTGATGATTTTTAATCCTTACGATTTGTCAAAGTTAAATGTTGCCTATTCTGGATTTTCAGATAATCTTTAGCCTTAGTTTTCTGTCCATTAGAACTGGGTAATCCTACACTGGACCCAGCTTTTAGAGAGTATGTATTTATTATTGTAGAAAGAAATCCACCTTCAAACTAATATAGTCCCAAAAAGCAAAAAAGCAACCTTTTCGCATGCCAGGACTTTACAAAAATCCCAGCAGAGCAGTAATGGAAGGGTCAGTAACCTCACATCATAATAAAGTAAGACAGAATACTGAGATCTATTCATTTCAGTGTCTAATTTTAATTCATAGCCACTTTTAGGAAGACAGACTATGTTAAAATAGTAAGAAATATGTTTAAGGTCTGGTACAGAGGTTTTAGGACTTAAGGGAAATGTTAAGATACCCAGTCACATAATTTTTCTGAAGACCTTATCACCCAAGCAGGCCCAGCAGAAAAAGAGGAGAAGTAAAAGAGGCATGAACACTTCAAATGACCTGGCACAAGTCATATAGCAAGTCTCTGGCAGGATATGAGCAGAACTCAGAGCCGAGTCTAAGCACCACTCGATGTTTCTGCTCACACAACACGAGGAGTCAATGCAACGATATATTTTGTCTTGTGGGGAAAGAGGACTCACCTGTTTGAGTTAGGAAAAATCTTCAATTAAGATTTTTATTCAATGAAAATGTGGTGCACAAAACCATATGTTAAACAAACCAATTTTCTCTACACCCAATCCTAGCAACACTCCCTTATTTTCTCTCTCTGCTAAAGGAAGAGCAAAAAGTAAAAAGATCTCCACTCCTGCCTTTCTTCCCATCAACCTCTCCTAAATGGTTTCATGGCCTTCAAAAGTCATCTAGTGAGCTCTCTTCTAGAACTGAGTAAAAATTCAGAGTCAGATATCTATTTCCTGTGCTGGAATGAAACATGTGGATTACTATCAACAGTGAAAACAGGTCATCTGTCA